CCCATCTTTATAAACTCGATTATTTTATTTTCTTCAAATTCAAGCTTTTGCATTGATTACTCTTAATGCGACTACTTCTCGGAGGCTTTGTCGTCGACCTATTTTAAAATGACTTGCGACGGTCTCTTTCTGCTAGCCCTTCATGAGATATGATTCGATGCAATTGTCATAGTATCTTAAGTCCGTTTTACAATTCGTACAATTCATGTTTCCTCATAAGTGAGCATTATTTTCCTTTGTCTTTATCGCGTATGACTTGATAATATCATTTTTACTAAATACATAAAAGTAGCAATGACTGGTGGCGGGCGGGGACCTAACCTGCATAGGAGGTTCGAGGAACAACCCGCCACCACCAACGGTCTCTACGGCTTCGAAGTGCTGAGCCAGATGCGGATGGCAAAAGCACAAGCTATTGGTCGCGCTCTCGCTTGTTGTCTGCCTCCAGTAATCCCCGTCAAAAGACCGCCCTGCCGTCGCCGGCCCTTGCTCACAGATCTCGTGGCAGTCAACCCGCGCGTCGACTACTTCGTTGCGCCTCGTCTCTTTTCTTTCCGCGAACCACCCTATACACCCATAGCCAACAAGCGGTGAGCGTGTTTTCACGTAACTTTAGATTTGTAACTAAGTCCACGACGATGCAGCCAATTTTTTCCCCTCAGGTCAAGTACTCTCATAGTCCGCGTCTATTTTAAAGAACTTTATTAATTTAGTTTAACTTTAACATTTAACGTAATTCCAGCAAGTAATTAGTCGATCTTCGATTTCAGTAAAAGTCTGGTTGAATGCAGAATTCATTTATCAGAAATGAGGCACGCCTATATCTACACGGTTTGCGGTCACTTTTTTTACTCCGTTGACTTGACTTTGGTTCAGGATTTCTTTCACATCTTTGAAGTCTGCTTTTACGTATGGTCCTACCCAATTGGTGCCCGTATTCTCACCGTCTAGCGACCTCTATGCTGCTAACCATGCAAGGCATTTTCTCTCAAACCCTTTACCATTTGTTTGCCTGAACGAAATGTAATTTAAATAGATGAGACTAATCGCTAAATAATTCACCTAGCTAACTTTTGTATAACTTGGTTCCATCCATGTGTAGCCCAAAGCCGAATCACACTAGTGTTGCCTTCAACTAAGAAGGCTTCATTATTTGACATATTTGGTTTTGGCTAACGAATGTATGGAAGGCCAATGCTCTGCTATGGCAGAATGGCAACACGAAAGGTCACAGGCTGATCTACCATAATTGATCTTCACCTTATTACAAGTCTTGTTGGTTCTGCTGCAATGCGTACTTTGATAGTGCAGGAAGGAGATTATCAGGCTGTCTGTTATATTGTAAGGTCTACAATGGAAAGGGTAATGTCATCAGTAAAATATTTGTGGCATGGCGATCTTGCTTTGGCTGTTGGAAATTTAGTGCAGATGTCTAGGTTTAGCAGACTGCAGAGTACCATCGAAAAGCTTGTTATGTCAACGCCACTTACTTGCCAAAGTTAACTGTTAGTAAAATGCATAAAGGTGAGAGAAATGAGTTGTTTGGAAAGAGTGGTGTGGTAAACGAACTTGGATCTTTCACTTCTCAACCTTGAAAACCTTCTCTTAACTTAGCTCTTCCATTGTCGATTGTCTTCTTCTTAGTGATATATACTTGGGTGATCGTTGCAGTGAGGTCAAGCCGCGTCTCGTGGAGTGCAGAAAACGCAACACCAGTGGCATTTTAGTAGCGAAGAGCTCAAAAGTGGACTATTTTGTTGCTCCACGTCTGAAGAGTAGTCGTGAGGTCCCATGGATTTGCAGCTGTAACTGTAGATGACCCAACGGGAAGCAGAAAATAAAAGTGCCTCTCCTTTCCCTTTGCATGTATTGCCTGTTACTTCCTCTTACTGTACAATGTGATCATTCTCGATGCTTCGTTTCATTACTGCAAGTAAATCAGCATCTATTGGTGACTAATTTAGCTTAAGAAAATGCTCCTTCTGTGTTCGGGTGTCTCGATAACCGGGAAGGTCAATAAATTTTACATTAATGAACCAAAGCTTGTATGCTCTGAACTTAAAATGGATCCTTTTATTGGTTCTTGAAGCCTCTCCAACATAAAGACTTTGTCAAGTTATTCCATTACTAATTACTAATAGCAATCACGTTACCTTGAATTCCACTTCTTGTTCCAATTCTCTCCTTTAAAGGACGTCTCTACCTTGACTTATCATGTAATAATAAGGATAGCACTTACGTCGAATCTGGTCTGTTAACGGACTACTAGAGTTCAAAGCAGCAAGAGGAGGACGCAGACTCACCTCCTAGACCTGAGAAAAGTGGCGGCAATTTTAGTGAGTTGCATGCCAATTCTATGAGTGTGGGTGTCATACTCGAACTCGTGTGCAACGAATTGTTTTTTTTTTTTGCGTTTAGATAATTAGGATTTACTTAATAGCACTAAATGTATCATCAAATTGAT